CAAGATTTAAATAGCTTAAATCTATTACAATTCCAAGATTTATTGAACATTACAAACGCAATTTTCTTAATATTTTTATAGCGCTTAGCGATATTTAGTAATTTGCATGTATGCATGTGTGTGAAAATTAAAGGATTTTCAAAATACATATATATAATCTACACAAATTGATAATGCAACTAGTTAAATACGGTTAAAGTGCTTTCAGGGGCAGGACCTAGATATGACCAATTATAGTCCGATCGTAAAAAATTCTTTAAGCTAAATTTCTGTACATAAAAGCTATATTTCAGTAAAATTTTATATATATATCGTAATTTAGTAATAAGTAATGTGTGTTTAAGTGATTTTCGAAAGGGAACCTTGTATGGGACCGACCGCACCCATGTTATGAGCCGATCGTGAGAAATCTTGAAATAGAATTTTTGTATACAAAACTAATATTTGTGGCAAATTTTGTCTCAATAGCTTTATTTGGTAATGAGTAATGTGCGTTTAATAGATTTTCGTAAAAGGACCTTGTATGAGAGTTGTGACGAATTATATATAAAAACAAAATTTCAAAATTCTGTATCTATATCATTATTTGGTAATGAATATTGTGCATTTAAGTGATTTTCTGGAGGAGACCTAGTATGAGAGCTATGACCAAATATGGACCGATCGTAAAACAATTTTATAGTGTAATTTATGTATATAAGAGCAATAATTTTGCTAAATGTATGATATCAATATTTGGTAATGAATTATGTGCGTTTAAGTGATTTTCGGGAGGGAACCTTGTATGGGAGCTATGACCAAGGTTGGACTAATCGTGAAAAAAATTTGAAATAACATTTATGTGTACAAAAATAGTATTAATGCCAAATATTTTATGGGTATCACTATTTCCTAATGAGTTATGTGCCTTTAAGTGTTTTCTGAAAGGCACCTTGTATAGCAGCTATGATCAATTATGGACCGATAGAAAACAATTTCACAGTAATATTTCTCTGTATATGAGCAATACTTCTGCCAAACTTTATAGTTAGTAATGAGTTATGAGCGTTTAAGTGATTTTCGGGAGGGGACCTTGTATGGGAGCTATGACCAATTATGGACCGATCGGAAAAAAATTTCACAGTAATATTTTCGCGCATATGTGCAATACTTGTACCAAATTTTATATGGATATCTTAATTAAGTAATGATTTATGCGCGTTTGAGTGATTTTCGGGAGGGGACCTTGTATGGGAGCTATGACCAATTATGGACCGATCGGAAAAAACTTTCACAGTAATATTTCTATGCATATGGGCAATACTTATACCAAATTTTATATGGATATCTTAATTAAGTAATAAGTTATGCGTGTTTAAGTGATTTTCGGGAGGGGACCTTGTATGCGAGCTATGACCAATTATGGACCGATCGGAAAAAACTTTCACAGTAATATTTCTATGTATATGGGCAATACTTATACCAAATTTTGTATGGATATCTTAATTTAGTAATGAGTTATGCTCATTTAAGTGATTTTCGGGAGGGGACCTTGTATGGGAGCTATGCCCAATTATGGACCGATCGGAAAAAACTTTCACAGTAATATTTTTATGCATACGGGCAATACTTATACCAAATTTTATATGGATATCTTAATTTAATAATGAGTTATACGCGTTTAAGTAATTTTCGGGAGGGGACCTTGTATTGGAGCTATGACCAATTATGGACCAATCGGAAAAAACTTTGACAGCAATATTTCTAGGCATACGGGCAATACTTATACCAAATTTTATATGGATATCTTAATTTAATAATGAGTTATACGCGTTTAAGTGATTTTCGGGAAGGGACCTTGTATGTCCAATGACCAATTATGTACCGATCCAGAAAATTTTTCTCTGAAAGAATTCTATTGACATAAGATTTTAATTTGTAAAATTTTGTGAAGATATCGACATTGTGATGGAAGTTATTAACGAAAAACCCATTTTCCGGGAATATGTACTTTTGTATGGGAGGTATATGAAATTGTGGACCGATTCTGGCAATTTTCTGCACGGATCAAGATCTTGTGTAGAAACGAATGTATGGTGATTTTCATGGAATTATCTTGCATAGTTTTGGAGAAAATTACATTAGAATGTGTAAAAAATGCTTATTTTTTTCGAGGTTGTTTTAAATTTTGATTCATAACTTTTCCCGATGTGAACCGATTTTGCTCATTTTCAATACCAAACTGTACCGGATAATAATGAATATTTTGGGTGAATTTGGTTAAATTATATTGCTTCGTTTTAACGTGAGCGTGTTTTACACAGACAGACGGACGAACGGACGGACGGACGGACGGACGGACATAGCTAAATCGACTCAGAATTTCATAAGGACCCAGAATATATATACTTTGTTGGGTCTCAGATGAATATTTCTTGGTGTTACACACGGAATGACAAAGTTATATACCCTCTATCACCACTGATGGTGGTGGAGGGTATAAAAATTCAAAAGAGCGACATTGCAAGTAACTGTTATTTGATCATTTCAGTCACAGTAGCTACTAGTGAACTATCAATCACCGTGATTAAATCACAGTCGTAAAAATATCGCTCATCTCTATATAGAAGTAATAAAAATGTTAAATTTTATAAAATAATTTAGCAATTAAAAAAAAAAAAAATGAACAAAAAACATAAAAAAGCACATTTTATCAAAAATCTCGTTAATTAATATCACGATTTTACTTTTTATGGTAGAAAACTAAAAATATTCTTAAAAAAATCACAAAAAAATTGCATAATATTGGTAAAAATAATTGATCACATAAAGTTTTTTCTTAAAATGTATAAAATTTTACAGAGGCAAATTACTTAATTGATTCACTGTATGTTGTTTTCGTAGAATTGACTTCACCTTATGAGTGCACCCAAGATTGTCAACCCCCCATTACGTACATGATTCGCCATACAAAATTTCAGCTGCGTATTACACAAGCTGTTTGAATTACGTACGAATTACGAATGAATGAGTGTCATCTCTGGTTGGAGACAAATAAAAACTAAAATTACAAAAAAATGCAAATAAATAGAAAATATATAACTTAATTTGTTAAAATTGTAACAAACGTATTTTTGTATCATACACACAAACATCCAAAAAAATTACAAAATAATGAATAAAAAAAACATGGCGATGAACTGTCAAAACGAATTACGAATGTGCCGTAGAAACGGTTTAATTGGCTATCGTTATTGAGAGTACGAATTAAGTAATTAAATTTAAAATCTTCCTATTAAAAATCGGTAGATTTCTTATCCTCCAACAAGAAGCTTTTTAACTGCTAAGTCTTCTTTTACATAGAGACTTTTTCCCCCTGGGCTTTTCTCAATTTTCTTTTAAATGCCCTTTGTAAAATCTTGAATGTTTACATTGAGACTTGAATGTTTACATGCCTGCTTTTTGAAATAATGAGATTTGCCATTTTTATAATTCTTAATTAATTGTTTTAAATATCATTTAAATCGGCGTCTGCTGGTTTCCTTATAGATATCGGGAAGAGTGGATATTTAGCCCTAAAAAAAGGAGGCAGGCATTCTTGCTATCCGTGAAGATGGCGGCTGTTGAAAAACCATTAAGGATGATGTAGTCAATAGCTTTGTCCAGGGCATGGAGTTCACCAGAGAGGGATGAGGTGTTTTCCGATATTTTAAAAAGTAGATTTTGATCACAAGATATGTTGCAGATTGCACAGCCAGTACAGTCAGCATTGATAGAAGCATCCGTCGCCAAGATAACAAAGCCTTGACTTTGATATTGCTCAATCCTATCGCGATATATGTCTTTAATGATGTTGTTCGGTGTGATAGATTTCGACAGGGGTAACGTGTTAAGACAGACATTGATCTTATTAGAAGAAAAAGTTAGGAAGTCGGTAGGGGTATTGTCAAAGATATCCTGAAATGTGCGGTAAATAGTCCCAAGACTAGATTTGGGTGAGGGATTCAAAGAGATACGCCTGTATAGTGAGGGGTAAAAATTTAAGCTGTAATAACTCCTTGAAAGCTAAGTATTGAGACCTGTGCTTTGGAGGTAGGACAAGCGATAACGCATAGATTTTGAAGACGTTCGATGCAGGATTTAGTCCAAGACATCTACGAAGTAAATGGTTCTGAAATGTCATCACCTTTTTGTCCACATAGTTAGGTGCGTGGGCCATTGACGAACGTGCATATTCAGTCTTGGAGAAAACAATCGATTTTTCGATGTTTATCGCCGAATCCGGCCGGAGGCCACCCCTAAGTGGAGTCAGCATTTTCACTGCCCCAGCAACAAAGGATGAGTCCGAAATTGCTTTGTCAAAGTGCTCTTTCATCGACAGGCTATTCTTTATGATTCTTCCTAGGAATTTTATAGATTTGACATTAGGAATTGATACGTTGTTCAGAGAAATATTCACGTTCAACCGTGCTCCTTTGGCGACATACATAGTAGCTGTTTTCTCGTTGTTGAGTTCCAAATTCAGATCAGCAGCTAGAGAGTAAAATTCATTCAGCTTACGCTGAAGGTTGTCAACAGCAGCCTGAAAGTTTTTGTTGATTGAGATAAGTACGAAGTCATCAGCAAAATGTATTAGATGAGTATTCTCATTTTCAATATTGTGTAAGTGTGCCGTGTAGATATTTAACAAGGTAGGGCTCAGGCAGCTACCCTGAGGGAGTCCATTGAAGATCTCAATTTCACTATCTCCCAGAATTAACCTGCGTAGTCTCAGGAATTCAATGAATAGATCTCCAGAATAGATCTCAGTTTTGTCAGGCTGACACAGTCATAGGCCCTAGATAGATCAAGTGACACAAGGGTTACCTTCAAATTGGCATCCTTGGCAACAGCAATCGTGTGTAGTAGGTCATTGATGCAGTTTGAGGCGGAGTGGTGTTCTCGATAAGCATATGTCCTAGCAGGAAGAAAACCCTTATCATCAATGAATCTCGTCAATCTCTCCTTGAGCATCAAATTAATTAGTTTGACATAACGGATATGAGTGCTATTGGTCTGTAGCCCGTCACCAAACTCGGGTCCTTGTTCCTCTTGAGAATTGGCACAATACGTATCGATCGCAAACTTTCGCGTAGTTTGCATTGGGTCCATTGTACATTCATTGCCATTAAGAGTGCAGAGGATGATTCCGTCCTTAGTCTCCTGATGATCATGTAAGTAACACCATCCGTACCAGCAGACAGTTTCTTGTTCTTCGCTTTTAAGGTGTTGAGAAATTCCTCAAGAGAAAATGGATCATCTAGAGTGGGTGGAGGGGTGGAGATCTGTGATGAGAAAGAGTTATCAGAAACTTGATCTCTTATGTGCACCAAAAAAGGATAGTTTAGGTCATTATTCCATCGGGACAATTGTGTTTCGGAACCAGACGATTTGCAGGCCTTGACAAACCTATACAGTTCCTTTGAATTTGATGTTTGATTGAGTTCCCGGATTTTGTTGGTGAAAGATTTTCTCTTAGCCGCTTTGACACCAGATCTGAAGTTTTTGATAGCTATGGAAAGTGTACGCGCATTATCGCAATTTTTATTATAGTTAAAAGATTTTTGGCTGCGGTTTTAATACGATATAGTCTATCAATTTCCTTGTCCCACCATCCCTTGGGTATTCTTTTGCAATCACCATTGATTCTGAATTTGGAGTTATTCAAAATGTTGCTCACAGTTGAGTCAATTAGGTCAAAGTCGGGTGACAGATAGACATCAGAAAAATCTTTAAGAGCCTTATTTTTTGAAAAGAAAATAACATCGCGTAGAGAGGTTTCATCAACTTCAACAACAATTGGGAAGTGATGGCTGCCCCCAATTGTGGTATGATCGACATGCCAACGGGTGTTTTGGTGAGTTTGAGTATACGTTAAAGCCAGGGCAGATCGAAGGCAAAGGCCCTACTACGATTGCAATCAAGGACATCACCGTAGGCAGTGGATCTTGCATTAAAGTCGCCGCACAGCACAATATTCCTTTTCGTTTCCAGGAAATCCACCAAATTCTGAAGTTCATATCTAAAATCACCAATTCTTCCGCTGGGTAGGAAATAGACCTATGCTATGGTGAGGTTAGTGGAAAGATTAGTAGTCTTATGGATCAATATTTCCGAATTTGATTGAAAAGAAATTTTCCTCACCTTAATGGATTTTTTGAATACACAGACTCCACCAAAGTTGTTATTAGGTCGAAATGTAGTATAAATGTTGTAGTTGATTAGGTTGCCAGAGTTTCTGGGGTTCTGGGTGTTGAAAATCTCACTGAGTAAACAGATGTCAATGTTATGTCTGTTCAAATAGTGTTCAAGATAGTTTTTATTTTGGGAGAAACTTTGAATGTTGTATTGTAACAACCGGACCATAATGGGCAGTTAGTGGAGACATGATCAAGATAGTTAAGAGAATGTATATAGAAATGAACAGATGTGGTATAAGATGTTTTTCTTCTTGAAGATTTGTTAGATGTATAAGTATAAGTATTTAGGTATGAGAGATCGAGGTAATTTGTGTTATTCATTTTGACTAGTAATTGACGGAGGATCTGGATGCTTGGAGTGATGTTGACTATTAAAGTTAGATAAATAATAATAATTTGAGATTATCAATGAGTTTGGCACAATTGGTATTATTAATTTGAGGTAAAATTGCAGACAGTCAGGAAGGTGTGATGGTAGTTGGCTGCAGGGCAGTGAAATGTTGTTTGGGTCGTAGAGAAGCAACCTTACTGTACTTAATCCGCGTTACCCTCCTGTTTATTTCATCGTCACAGTTTCTAACATTGCTCTCGTTTTTGTTCCGAAGACTGGGGATTTGAGTTGCATACTCACCATCCGAAAGGATTTCATAATAATTCGAATTGAGAGAGTAGTTTTGAACAACCTCCTTTCGAGATAAGTTTGCAATAGCCATGATCTCTTTAATGTCCTTTTCCCTTCTCCATGAAGCACATCTCCTGGCATCAGTGGAGACATGATCCTTGGCATTGCAATTAATACATTTCATTTCGTCACAAGTAGGGGTGCAGTTTGTCATCTTCAGACAGGAGTCACATCTGAAGTTCTCGCACTCAGCATTTTCGCACATAATTTGTTTACCGCAGTTAAGACACCGTTTCTTGGACCTACAGCGCACAGCAATGTGACTAAAATGTTTTGAGTTTCTCCTCCAGAGTAAAATTGTTAGCATCCTCAGCATTGTTAAAGGTGAGACGAAAGGTATTAAAACCTACCTCTTTTATAACGGCTTTAATGGGAATTTCAATTTTCATCAGCTTTTCATGCAGGAAAAGTTCGATGTTCTTCCTGGAATTTGATAGCTTTTCAGCAGATTGAACGAGTACGTTAAAGGGACCAGAGTGGTTTGCAGGGTGCCAATTAATAATATCCACCGTTTTGTTATCCTCATTGTGATTGTCCGATGAAGGATTCAAGCTTCCAGACTCAGCCGATTGTGATTGCCGACTGCTGCTAGTATCCGAGGAAGTATTAGGGATATCATGGCTAACACACGCCTTACCATTATTGTTTTTCAACTGTTTTTGGTCACCGCCCTTTCTGTTGTCCTCTAGAGGACGCTTCGCAACGCCCGGAGAACGTCCCTGATCGTCCATCCGTGCAGTCTTCCACTAGGCTTGTCCAGCTCAGAAAAATAGAAATAGAAATATAGAGTCTCTATCTCATAAATTTCCTTTTTATACCCTCCAGCACCATCAGTGGTGATAGAGGGTATATATAAGTTTGTCATTCCGTTTGTAACACTGAGAAATATTCATCTGTAACCCAACAAAGTATATATATTCATGGTCCAAAATTGTAATAATCGGTCCACAATTTCATATACCTCTCATACAAAAGTACATATTCCCGGAAAATGAGTTTTTTGTTAATAACTTCCGTCACAATGTTGATATCATCACAAAATTTTACAAATTAAAATCTTATGTCAACAGGATTGATCCAGAGAAAAACTAAATTTTAGTAAAAAAGTTTTTTTGGATTGGTCCATAATTGGTCATAGCTCCCATACAAGGTCCCCTCCCGGAAATCACTTAAAACCACATAACTCATTAGTAAATCAAGATATCCATATAAAATTTGGTACAAGTATTGCTCTTATATACAGAAATTTTACTAAAAAAGTTTTTTGGATTGGTCCATAATTGGTCATAGCTCCCATACAAGGTCCCCTCCCGAAAATCACTTAAACTCATTACTAAATTAAGATATCCACATAAAAATTTGGTACAAGTATTGCTTATATGTGCAGAAATATTACTGTGATATTGTTTTCCTATTGGTCCATAATTGATCATAGCTCCCATACAAGGTCCCTTTCAGAAAAACACTTAAGGGCATATAGCTCATTACCAAATAGTGTTACCCATAAAATATTTGGCATAAATACTATTTTTGTACATATAAATTTTATTTCAAAATTTTTTCACGATCTGCTTATCCTTGGTCATAGCTCCCATACAAGGTTCCCTCCCGAAAATCACTTAAACGCACAAATTAAACTATAAAATTTTTTTACGATCTGTCCATATTTGGTCATAGCTCTCCAGAAAATCACTTAAATGAAAATAAAAATTACTATTCATTACCAAATAATGATATAGATACAGAATTTTGAAATTTTCTCTTTATATACATAATTGGTCATAGCTCACATACAAGGTCCTTTTACGAAAATCTCTTAAACGCATATTACTCATTACCAAATAAAGCTATTGATACAAAGTTTGTCACAAATATTAGTTTTGTACACAAAAATTCTATTTCAAGAATTTTCACGATCGGTTCATAACACGGGTGCGGTCAGTCCCATACAAGGTTCCCTTCAGAAAATCACATAAACATACATTACTTATTACTAAATTACGATATAGATACTGTAGAAGATCGATCTGCCGCCATCGCCCGCATTGTAAACGGCTTGATCGACTTCGACTAAAATTGACACTTCCGTGTAAGAACGCCCTGTTCAAGGCGCCAACATAAAGGAGAACAAGAGAAGTCACTTGTCATCGACACAGAGAACGAATAACATCAGAAAAACAAACAAATAAAACAAAATTAAAATTCACATTGTATAAAATATAAATAAAAACATTAAAAAAACTCACTAACAGTGAACGAATACGAAACAATTTTCAATTGTTTACAAAAAACAAAGTGCAGAAACACAAACAAAACAAATAGTGCAACTTACAAACAAAACCAACACGAAGTGCACCAACAACAACCAACATACACCACACTAAAATCAATTTTAATATTGATACATTAAAAACGTTTACCAAACAAAACGAACACAAAGTGTAACAAATAAAGCAGTTTTAAATTTCTTTAAAATTGCAACAATAAAATCTATAAACATTTATTCAAAAGAAGTTCTTGTCTTTAATTTAACAACAGCAACGCTAAAGGTTCAAATCAAGTAAGTATAGTCAAGCTCTTTGAATTTACATATCGATCAATACTCGCTGATATACTCGACTGCAAATGTACCCTACATTGTTACATCTCATGTAACAAGCCTTTAAATATTCTGCTTTAGTTCCATCAAACAGAATCAACAAATACAACTTTCGGTTGGAATTTGTTCATGGTCCTTCGTTAATCAAAAGAGAATCAGTAATTTAAATTATTTTAATTTCATTAAAATAAATACAAAGTTTCCATTTGTATAATATAATTACGACTTTTGCAAACGTTTGTTCACATATACCTTGTAAATATCAGCTAGTATTGATCACACATACATATTTTATTTCTTCAAAAATATTATGTTGTTTTTATACACTTTTAAAATATTTAGTGGAAGATTTTTGTTGCTTTTCCTTATTCTCCAAAAAAAAATTCTCAAAAAGAAAAAAATATTTAAATACTCAGGCTTGTACACAGCTAAAGCGGAAATAAAGCACAAAAGAGAATTGAAAAAAATCTCTTAAGTGTAATTGTTTTTACATTACTTGTGTGTACCCTACACTCAAGAAGTAAAAATTATTAGTTCAACTTTCGCTTTGTACCAAAGTAGATTTTCATACATATAATAAATATAAATCAGATTTTATTAAATTGTGGTATTTCTTTCCATACACCCTTCATTGAAATTCGGCACTTAACATTTTTTATTTTGATTTGTAATATTACTTCTTTTAATAAATTACTTTCGGTAATTAAGTACATTTGCATTTTCATTGCTATATAGTATATAAAAGATACAATGGCTTCGACAATTTGCCTAAGATTCGTTCATGAATATGAAAATTTATTTGATGTATGTAGGAAATTTTCAAGTGTTTCCATAGATGATTTGACTGAGTCTCTAGTCGAAACAAAACTTCAAGCTCTTGAAGAAGATTGGCAATCACTTCGCCATGCTTACGAAAGCGTTTATTTAGCTGAAACAGTTAATGTAGATTTTAAAAATGAAGCAAAATCCAAATTTGAAGACTGTAGAGAGAGTTATCAATATACAAAAGCTGAAATGATGGATTTCATAAAAGCTTCTAAGACATCGTCCGATAATGCTCAAAGAGGAAATGGTCCAACTTACTTACCTTCGTAGAAGATCCATCAGCTTACATTAATACGTCCTACGAATCTCCACATTTTGAAATAAATGTTCCGCCCTGTGAAGCTCAAGATTTTCATGGTTCCTATGCAGAATGGCCCTCATTCCGGGATATGTTTACAGCTGTTTACATCAGCAAAGTAAGAATGCCCGATGTTCAAAAATTGTTGTATTTACGACAAAAATGCAAGGGAGAAGCAAGTTCAATAGTTAATAAATACTCTTTAACAAATGACGTCTTTCCTTTAGCATGGGAAGCTCTACGAGCACGTTATGAAAATAAACGCATTCTGGTAGATCTACAGCTGAAAGCCCTTTTTAACATCCCGCCCGCGGATTTAGAATCTCCAGAAGCAATAAACAACATTCAGACAACAATTAGTGATTGTCTTGCATTGCTATCGTCTCAGGGTATAAATGTTGAATAATGGGATCCCATCCTTATTTATTTGTGCTGCACAAAACTTCCAACAGAAACATGAGCCCTCTGGGAACAATCTCTTGTTTCAAATTCGATTTTACCTTCCTGGTCACAAATGGAACAATTTCTTATAAAACGACATCGGGTTGTGGAACGAATCGTAGGAATGACAAAAGAAAAATTTCAAGACACTCAAAGCTCTATTGACTCAAATAACTATACAAATAATCAAAATGTATTTTCAAAGAATTCTGAATGCATATTATGTAGGAAGAATCATAATTTACGACTTTGTTCCAAATTTTTAAGCTTTTCCCTAAAGCAAAGAAATAGTTTTGTTTCACAAAACGAGATTTGTAAAAATTGTTTATCTCTATCACATAGTGTTACTGATTGCATTAGCCGTTATAGATGCGATCAATGTGGCAATAAGCTCCATAGTTTGCTTCATATATCTAGAAACTATAACTCACAGAATTCTATTGAACCTATAGATTCTACGACGAGTTCTTGTCGTACACAGTCAAACCAAATCACTAATAACCAAAGTTTCTATCGTTCCAATCAAATAGAAACACCAGAGACTTCTCTTCGAGCAAATAACTCTCAGACTCTTCTAAACACAAGTAAGCAATTTTCGTCACCGACATCTCTAGTCCAAGAAGTTACTTCACAGACGCTCTTCTCTGTAAATCAAGATAATATATTACTACCTACAGCTCTTGTCCAAATTCTGCATTCTGGTAATATGCACACAGTTCGTGCGTTAATCGATTCAGGTTCTAAAAGATCCCTTTTAACTGAAAATGCAGTTAGAAGAATTGGGTTAGGCACAGAATGTTCAAATGTAAAAATATGCGGATTGGGCGATAAGCTAGTCGCGAATAGCAATAAAATTTCGAACGTAACATTATTTTCTGAAAGACATAAGACACAACTTAGCTCTAAAGTTGTGATTGTTCGGCAGATCACTAGTCTAATGCCAAATTCTTTAATGCAGATT